AAAAATATCTTATTTCTCAGACTTATGGAATATTTACACGTTATTTATATTCATTTTAGTTAACCCAAACCATAACAAACACTAGTGCGTTTCGATCACACGTTTTAAAAGCATGTCATTTTTATTAACGTTTGCAGGCACTTAGATTGAAATGTTATGAACCTGAGGCCTTGTGTTGATATCCGGGGTGACATCATTCTATCATTGGGCGATTCAAAGCTCGAATTGACGCAGAGCCGACGAGAACCGTGATTTCAGTAGAAGTACTCTGACAATAACAATAATACAAAAACAAACTTTTGAGTGCCCGGTTCGTATCGCCTTTGGGGCTATCACAATCAGTACCATGACTCAAAGATTACAGCGACACATACACACATACATACATACACATATACGGCGACCTGAATGCATTGAAAACGTGTTCCATAACATGACATGATTACAATATAAAATGAAGTAATTTTTCAATGTATGTCGCGATAAAAAAAAACATCCACTCTCGAGATGCCACACAAAGTGATTTTACCCGAAGCAACGTGAGAACAAGGAAAACGAAAACTGACGAGTTGCCTCGATAAGATATATATAATAGATGTTGTTCCTAACAACGGAGTATATATGACATAGATATAAATACAGTGGTGACATACATATACATTGTATGACTTAAAAATTGCGTTTAGTATCTATAATAGTATTTTTTTTTAGCTTGCTCCCGTTTGTTAATCTGGTGGAACTTGGAATGGCAAATGTCACCTGCTATAAAAATTTAAGCGAGATATATATTGAAATATTAATACAACCAGTGGGCGATTCGATTCTGACGCACATCTTCTTCGTGGCTGTGTTTGTGCGGAGTATACAAAAGGGGGTGGGGGAGTTGATTCCTATTAAGTTGTATGTCAACTTTGGAGTACGACAACAAAAATACAGATTCCAAAGTAAAATTAATGGAAGATGATATGTTTGTGTTTATATGGAGTATAATAACGATTTTTGAAAGAAAGAAGGAATAACTACGCAAGGACGAGTGGAAATTCAACGGCCTGGAAATGAACACGTTAGAGCGTGATTTGAGCAATTTTGACAAGGAATACGCAAACACAGGTTTGCCGACAATAGGGTCAATAGCCATCCCTGACATGTTTTCAAATGTGGCGCAGAAATTGCACGAAAAATCCGCGTTCAATCGTAGCGGATAGGAAGGTGAGATAACGGCAGTGGCAGCGTCTGGTGACTGCTCTGTGGTATTCAAAAAAAAAAAAAAAAGATAAAGCGAAGGGCAGAGAGTACTTGAAAACGAAAACGATCAAACTCGTCAGAGAATGTGAATCGAATATATTGAACTGTAGTCGGACACAGTCTACATTCAATTGCAAGTAGCCATTACCCAAGTCACACGACGTATATACTATTTTCATCGATTTTGTGACTGGGACGTTGAATTTGAATATCGGTGTTTGGGTAGAGCACCGGATAATCGTATTAATGCGTTTGACGCCAGGCGTCTCGTAATTGCGAATGAATACCGTGATTTATCATGCTGTGGTTGTTGTTATGTTTGTACGCCGAGAGGAGCTGTCCATGGTTCTTCTTCAACCTTATGAATTTAACAAGATCAACTGAAATGAAATATTTTTTTAATATACTAAAATTGAACCGGCACATTCAAATGGTGACTTATCAAATCTTTGGTAACTCTCATGTTGCCATTTAAGAGACCACACGCTCGACTTAGACCCCCTCCCTCTCCATCTCGCTCGCCGATGAAAATACACACACTGCACCGAGACCCACGCTACGCTCTTTTGATGCCCTACACAAACATACTTGTACTATAAATAATATAATAAATAATAAATATAATGTTTATAAATTATGCACAATAATAATCGTAGAATGTATGTTTAGTAGAATGTTGAAGTGAAATTAAGACGAAAACTAAACCCGGCGAGCTCTGATCGACGGTTTCTTGACAATTCATGACATGTATCCGATTTCATCGACGAAATTAAGACAAAACGGTCAATTAAATTCAACTCGTCTGTTTAGATAGAATTAAGCGTGTCAAGCTAGCATATCTCACAGTCAAGTTACAAGTTTGGCTATCTTGCAAGATACTGATGTTTGTTTTCAGCAAATGTCTGAATTCCGGTATGGATATCGGTTAGTATAATCAAGTATCTTCGTCACAGATGTGACTGGTGTCTCATGAAAAACGACCAATGACGGCGAATGCCGGATACATTTCACCTTTACAGCGACATTTATCCTGCCCCGTTCTCCGGAAAGCTTGTACTTTTATATCAAAAATAATAATAATATTACACTCACGCCGATAGTGCTGTGATTTTTTTTAAACCATGTCAGTGGAACGCTGTGAATGAATTATTAAAGTGATGTTCACGATAATCTATGGCGACCCTGGTTGGACTTTACGTGACTTGGAGGGTCTCGAGACGTGTCGACGGCGGAAAGCTCCGATGGGATCGGGATTATCAGTAAAAACATGCCCTAGAACGTATATGACAGGAGAGTGAGTCGAGAAGAAACAGATCACTGCGCGGCTGTGTGTAACAATTATCGACAGAGAAAGAAAATAAACTAATGGGTAAGATATTAAATCCGGCTGAGAAGGCCCGTAAAATAAACATTAATTCCGATTTTGGGAAGCACATCTATTATTGACTTGGTGACTATTTTAGCGAGGGATTATAAGGGAATGGGCGTTGTGCTCCACGGTGAAAAATCCCCAATGTTTGTCGAGAAGGTATATATATATACCGGCGGGAGGGCCACCATGTTTTTAGTCACACAAGTTTGTCAACTTATTTAAATTGGTAGCAAGTGCAGGGTCCAAACATAGAGGGAACCAGCAAAAAAAAAGATGTGTACACACTGCTTAATCTACACTGATATGACCGTCGTTGCCATGGTCCTGCAAATATGTATTTGAAATTACCAAAAGGACACCAATATCGTAAACAGTATCTGGAGCGAAAGGCCAAGAATGGGGAAAGTAATAAAATCATAACTCATGATTTTATTATCGTGAAATATATGTTTTCGATTGCAGGGCAATAATTTCTCAAAGTATACCGATTTTTTGGCGAGGCTGGTTACTAAAGGGGCATGGGTCATGTGTAATAATCAAGCAGTGGATAAGAAAACCACTACACAACACTCGAGTGAATGATCGCCCACCAAAACAGACCTATCACCACAAGTGCTGTATCTTGTCTGCTGGGCTGATATCCATGTATTTCAGATACTGCACTCCACCGTGCACTTACACTATAAATATTGAGTACGAGGATGGAAATTGAGCGTGTTTACACTGGCAAATTGGGCTAGCCAAACAATCAAACACAACTGTCATCCCTTATTTTACTGCAAAGGACAACACAGGAATCTCATTCATCTACCAAATGAGAAATGATGGGTTATGTTTACCGACCGAATTTTGGCGCTGTTTTTTTTGGGGGGAGGGGGGGGGGCTCCACATTACGTGGGTGATATATACACAACTACCGTCTACCTGGGAATTGAAATAAACAACAAAAATAAATGAAGGCGCGGATAAAGCAAGTGTTGGGTTTCACCTCTATGCGGGCTGTGACAGTTTATTGAAAATACTATTATCTAGATTTTTGCCATTGAAATGCTGACTCCTCGTCTTCTCTTCGTTTTACAACGTAGTGAATGGAATTACTGAAGAAGCAAACTTGAAGTTTGTAAACGGATTTAAAAAAAAAAAACATAAAAGGAAATTACAAACAGAATATCTTGACAAATATTCGATATCAGTTGTTTTGGCAATGATATTTCACAAATATATATATATATATATATAGAATAGATAAAGGATTTGGACAACACTATATTACCAGTCCTACGTACAAGGACAACCATCGTTATATTAAAAATTGAAAATCGGTTTGCTAGCAGTAGTAGTTTTAGGAAACACAGGTTTTGGTGATCTTTTTTTTTATGAAATTAAAATAAAATAAAAAAAGGGCACCGATGTATTTGCTAGTACGACATCCGTTAAAACAGTCGAAAATAATTGTGACAGTACTGTTTTGCTTTATGTGATAGAAACGGTTGGTGTAGCATTTTGTTCTTACATGATACTTTTTAAAAAAAAAAAATAGCACTCAACACCACCGGTAAGTCGCCGAAACGAAAAAGAAATTGACATCCATGGCGTCTTTCAAAGAAATAAATTATCCATTATAAAAAAAAAAAAAAAAAAAAAACTTTTCTAAAGTTCAGATTACCACCAGAAGCAACAATAATAGTAGTAGGATTTCTGTAGTTTTGTATCGACATTAAAATGGTTGGATGTAGTAGTTCTGTAGTAATCTGGTACTTCATACGATGGAATAAGATTATTTTTTTTATATATATATATACAAACATCACTGGTACGCAGACGACACGACACGATTCTCTAAAAAATATCCTTACTAAAAAAATCCAACTTGTTTTCTTTCTAAAAATCTCTCTTCCTAATATTGCTTTGTACAGGGAAATGGCACGTAGGGAATCACACTAAATTCCCTATTCAGTTTCAATATATTCCTGTATGTGATCTCTTAGATTTTTTTCTCCAGGAAAATAATAATAATATTAATAATAATAGTAATAGTGATAATAATAATAATAATATATTAATACAAAGTATAGAGTCCAATCCAACTTAGTGGATAAACAAGACAGTTTGCCCGTGTTCTGGTAATTGGTAGATGTCTCAAATAGTAAAATGTACTTTCACACTAACGCATACTATAAGAGAAGACATACTAACCGACCCGAACATCGTATTCCAAAACTAAACAAGGCTTCTGGCTTAAGTAGTAGTAGTTCTGTTTGATGGCAACGAACGTCGGTCGGTGAACACTGGGTTCCAGTTTAAGTGTGCTTTCCACAACATACAGGCGAAAATAATGTACGGTTCAGTTTTTTTCAAAGCATTGCGTTCATAGTGTTTTGGTATACCTGCGTCGAATGCACACATTTTTGTAGTTATTATATATTAAATAAAAGAACATCATGGTGAAGATACCTTCTCAAATTCCTCGATGATGTGATGTAGCTGTGTATCGGTCTATTTTTTTAAGTAGTCATTTTTTTGTTCCAACATATGAAGTGGCGTTCTCACCAGGTTCTTCCTTGGAGCAAAAAGGAAGCAGCCGAAATGTTATTACTGTTCATGCCATTATGGTAGGAATTCATATTATTCAGATTGTTCATTTGCGATGGGTTCACCACACTAGTAATGTCCGGGCCGGTTTGGTGCTGTTGTTGTTGTTGCTGCTGTTGCTGTGCCGCCGGTGGTTGAAGTTGTTGTTGTTGTTGTTGATGATGCTGTGTCGGTGTTGTGATACCTGGTATTGAACTGGTATTGGTGGGATTGGCTGTATTAGATGCGTTTACGGTAGTGCTAAGCGTAGAGTTTGTGCTCATATTCTGCGGCTGTTGTTGGGTCGTTGGTTGTTGTTGTTGTTGTTGTTGTTGCTGCTGCTGTGATTGCTGCTGCTGTCCATTGCCATTACCGTTACTCGACCCACTGCACGGTTTACCGTCCTTCACAAGTACGGGCACGGCAACGCGTCGAGGCGACTGATGAGTAACGTTGTTTTGCTCCTGCATGGTCCTGTCTTTCGTTTGACGTTTCGTTTTATAACGGTGATTCTGGAACCAAATTTTTACTTGAGTTGGCGTGAGATTGATCAGACTCGCCAGATGTTCCCTCTCCGGCGCAGATAGATATTTTTGTTGTTTGTATCGTCGCTCTAGTTCATACACTTGTGCTTGAGAGAATAGCACTCTTCGCTTCCGCCTCTGAACAGTCGGCAACATTTTGTGATCTCCTAGCGCCGACATATTCATGTTCATGTTCATGTTCATCGACGATGGGCCCATCAATCGGGAAACTAGAATAAGGATTCAAAAAGGTGGTTAATTTAATACTGAAAACTGCATCTGAGAACAGTATATAACGGGGTACATTTTGCCGTCACAGCACCTATGAAGTTATACATTGCTTAAATATCGTTTACAAACTATAAAACCATCTACGCGATCCACACCCGTACATTTTTGTGTTGTGTTAAATAAAAAACACTACCTTAGCCTTGGGTTTGTTTACTTAATATTTTGTTTTACCTATATAACAGCATGTTACCTCGGAAAGGTTTACAACTGAACGTTTTGCACGTACGTGTTGTGCCTTCGATTGCCTGTATACGCTGATTTTTTTCCCTTACCACGATATAGTATTTTTTTTGAACGAGACTTTGTTGGCCATTCCTCACTGAATCTCCACACACATGTTGTACAAGGGGCTCCTCCTCGAGACCTGACCTTTGTTAGGGCAGATTCTTCACAAAACAAAACAAAAAATATCTAGATTGCCGACTAGGGGATTCGCCTGAGTGTATATTGTATTTGCTATCGAGAAGAGCGGGGGGGGGGGGTATTTGAAAATTGTGATATGAAATGCGATAATTTCCAGTCAACGGAACGCTGCTGCCAGCGATGTAATACACTACATAACGCCGTAAGGGCCGCCTATTCTAACTCCGGGCCCCGTCCTTTGTCAAACGGAATGGGTCGATCGCGGAAAAGGCGCTAGCCGCTTTTATTTATTATCTTTTTTTCTCCCGAACGAAAAATGAATTACCAGTCTTCGTTTTGAAGTGGCAAACGATCTAATTTGCCGGCGCCCCACTTGACTATCCAGTAAACGTAAATATACGAGGAATATTCAAGGAGAATTCCCGTAACGAAGCGAAATGAATACTGCGCGCACATCGCTATCTGACTGCAACCCCAGCCATTTTTCTCAACGCCACTTCAAAAGGGAGAGAACGACGTACTTGAGGGCATCTCACCATTTTGACGAATCTATTGCCTAAATGGTGTTATCAGTCGCAAAATTTTGCTTCAGACTGAAGAAGGGAAACCGAAACGAGAGGTGGATACGTACATGGACGGTTGGGGTGAAAGAGGGTACTAGATGGATGCGTTGAGTAGGCTGAACGAGCGGCTACACTGGTAGTTGTACGGTTAATAAGCATTGCAGTGAAGTGCACGGAAATATCCTTGATTTTAAGAGTATACTTACTAGAGAAACGTGGATCGGGGTTGCCTCCATACCAGCTGCCTGATGTCGGTCGTACATGGTCGCTGTAGTGAGGCAACTCGTTGACGGAACCATTGCAGTAAGGGTTACCAATCGTCGGCGGGTGTGACAACTGCGGTACGTGCATGTGGTAAGGTGAGCTCACGGGAGGTACGTTCATGGAAGAATGCTGCATCGACTGTGATACTTGGCCCTGTTGTGATCTGTAGGCACCAGTCATAGATAGGTTAGTGTTAATATTATGTTCCAGCATGGGTTTCTTGTAAGTCTCTTCCATAGTGTTCAATATATCTGTGACTGAGAACGGTGTGGTTTGTTTAGGGCTCAGCGACATGACGTGGTCGCAAGCTGAGGTAAGTTTGCCGAACGGATCAAGGCGTCTGTTATGTTAGCTCAGTTCTTCCCCCTTTTTGTGTGTGCTAGACTTGTGTGTGGGCTGGCAGTACGTATCCGTGAATGCAATGTAATGAGTATATTTGGCAGCCCCAATTGCATTCTGGGATACGTTAAAACCCGGTCTCTTTTACGTTTTACTATGATAGTCTCATGCTTTTGCTTATGGTAGGAGTCTAACTGATCTGTGGGCGTGGCCTTCATGCTGAAGTACCAAACACAGCGCTTGATGTAAATGGTGAGGCCTATTGATTGGAGAACGCGACGTGGTGACATGTTTGACACGAGAATCAATTACTGGGGATAAAGATTCAACTTCTTTGACAGTTCGGGCTACATTAAATTTTCATGAACACCAGCCAGATCATTCTACAGTTGGGGCGTTTCTTCACCCTTTCTTTTTTTTCCCTCTTTTTTTTTTATTTCACACTTTTACTCTGATCGAGGCGGTTTTTCTCAAATCGTTTGTATTCAGCGAAACATCTCCGTTTTACCCCCCAACAATAGCTATCAATGGAAAGGGTATTGTGGAAAAAGCCCCAGGAAAACTGCCCAATCAGACATAATTGCCCAATTGTAAAGGACGAGGTGTGAAATTCTGAATTGGGGCATTCAGCCCGGACAAAACGGGAGCGAGAAAAGTTGAAAATGACTAAATGAAAAGCGACAAATACCTCTGTAGTCTACACTCGTACAGTTCCAAGCTTTGTAGCGACGACCGCCAATGGGGGTCAAGAACAGACACCATACTTCGACAAGCACTTGCGATGTTTTCCGGTGGGAAGCTGAGCCCCTGAACGCGAATGACACTCGACTATATAGTAACTTGAAAGCCCGCCACTTGAATGAAACAAGAACGTAAGACAAAGTTGATTGGGTGAAAACTATATGTATATTACATCTTAGCGGGTGCCAATCTTGTTCTCAACCCTGCTGAAAAATTTGGTAATTCTCATTGATCGCCTCGTTTGGCATGTTGTTAGTGAAAACAATGGGAAACAAAGCAGCCTTAAAGGTGTGTCAGTTTTGTGAGGGGTTTAAGTTGCAGTGGCTCTTCACCAAACATTTAAATGGGAATTAAGGCCTCTATGAGTAGGGTAGAAAAAATAGGTATACCACTCCTCTGTGTAACCCAGAAAATGACATGAGATCGCTTCGTGTGACCACAGCGCGACGAAATAAACAATTCCACTTACACGTGCGATCGCGACAGTGTGCTTCGGTTACGCGCGATATGACGGGTAAATATCCCTTTCTCCTCAGAACCTTACCAGTCACAAACTGTAATCACTTTAGATGTACATTGCCCTCTGACACGCGACGCGTAGATGGCGCTAGAAGCTTCGACTGTCCGTTTCCCAGGCAGCGACAGCCCGCCTGATATGTCTGCGAGGAAATCGCTTGAGAAGGCGTTGCGAAATGGACACTTACGATATCAAGTTGAAGCTAGGTAGTGATACAAGGGGAGGGGCGTAGACAATATAGTTGTTATAATCAGGCTTCCGGATTCAGTGTTAATTTCTTTGTTTACAAAGCTGTGAAGACTTTGTCAATTAGGGGCGCTAAGCCATTGTTTTAATATTTAAGAAGTCGCCGTTTGGTGTGTGTCTTCTAATGACTGTGTGAATTCTTTTAAACGGTTCCATTGTTTGTCTGTTTTGGATTGAAACAAGAGGTGGGTGGGTGGTAGTGGTGGTTAAAACTGATATATTTCCTAGACTGCTTTATAATGCTTGCTCTCTGTAATGCCACATATAGTCAGCTCTCTGGATACGTGCCATGGCCGTCTTTCTATTTGCGATCTGCGAGTGTGCAAATCTTTGCATTGTATGTTTGCGTTGGTCATCAATCTTGCCCGTGTGAGTGCGAAAAAACATATGTGTATGACATTGTACACGAATTTTTATTTGACGCTCTGTGTTAGCTAACTTGGGCAAAGAAAGGCAATATTCCAGAGCGTCGAAAGGTTTCAGTGAGCGTCTGAACGCGAGGTGACTGTGTGCGTGCCCTGAATAAATCTTAGCACACTGTACAACCCGAACATAGGGGATATGGATGTGACATACACGCCCCGTAGATTAAACTTCCAAAACACGAAACGGGAGATATGCGTGTATATTCACTACATTCGTTTCTTTTTTTTCAATGTTTGTTTTAAATTAGTTTTTAAATGCACGCTCCGTGAAAGGCTGAACATACGTGATGGGCGTTGAAATGAACACAATCAGAGAATTTCGCGTAAAAATCCACCCTCAAGGTCCGGTCTTCCCGTTTTTCTTTCTTTCGAGAATTTGGAATTGGGAAACTAAGAAGGCGGACCGGAATGGGTGTAATGGGAATGACGAGTTTACACTCAGGTTTGTAGGCACACACTCCACTGGAGTGAAAAGCCACTCGCCGAGTCGTCTGAACAGGAAAGGCACACTCATTAAGATAAAATTCAAAATAAACAGTAGCTTTTTTATTTTCTCTCGTGTACTCTTTCTATTTCCCCCTCCCTCTCGCGCTATATCCACACATTCAACAGGGAAGGAATCCCGTCTTAATGAGTGTGTCATGTTTGGAACGAGATAAAACAAACAGCAATTATTAGTAGTCTTTTCAGCCGAAACAAATGAGGCCCGCAATTAGAAGTTCAGAACTGGTGATGAGTCGCTCTAAAGAAAGACGTAATAAACTTGTATTATCCCGACTAATCTTGTTTCATTGTTCTGTGTCTCCTACGTTGACACCTCTGTGAATGTCCATTTTCCCACCTCACATACTGGTGTGAAGTGTACATTCACACCTTGAACTATTTGAATGACAAGAAATCTTACTCGCGAGAGCTTTCGCGAATTAAAAAAAAATCCCGTTTAATGTAAGCATATATATAAAGAGAGAGAGAGAGAGGGAAAGCGCATTTTTATACAAAAATATCTAACTTTGAGTGGGATATCTATAGGCTATGATGAGAGAGGATTTTCTGTTTCAAACACGTTCGTAGACAATCTTAGGTTTCGGGAATCCGTCAGCTGAGATTCTCCGCACATGCACTCGAAGTCGGCGAGCGTGATTAACAGGGATTTTCCGACAGATTCTTACGTCGGAAGACAAAAAAATAAAACGATATGACTGTGTGTACAAGTCTGTGGAGATTGTTTTCCTTTGTGTCTTTAACGAGCAGGCCATGTCCCCATCTTTGGTTGCGTATGCACGGAGGCGACTTTCTTTTTTACATCGAAAAGGTACTCACGAAAACCCAATCTAAAAAGACTACCACTTGCGGCGTCTCTCAAACGGGCAATTATGAGCATAGAAAACACTCAACATCAGCAACGAAATGTACTTCAGGATGGTACTAGCCTTCGTTAAGGAAACCCTCATCTTTTAAATCCCGGCTAGGCAATACTTAATTAAACTTAATGTTTAGAATTTGTAGCTCGCCCCAAGGAGTAAAAGCACGCGATTGCAAATAGAATCCACACACATACAAAAACTGTCGAAGCTCCGGTGAGTAGGTTTTGGACAAATTAATCGAACAATTTTATTTCATTTTTTTATACAAAATACGGGACATAACAGATCTTTAAATCTGTATTCCTTTCATATGCAACACGCGCCCGAGCTATTTTGTTACTATTAAAAATACAGTTGAGTATATACACATACCAGCGTGGTCTAGGCGCCGCAGAAGTATCGACACGCCGGACAGAATTAACTCATACTAGCGAAGACAAGACAACCATATTTTAACCAGGATCGATATAGAACAAGAGGGATACTGTATATATGAGTGTCCCAAGGTGTACAAATAATATAAGTGATTTATCGTAAAATAATGGGTAGTAGAAAATAAAAAAAAATCACAGATCGCGTCAAATTGTGGGTATGGTAACAACAATTGTATTTACTTTGCAACGTTTAAAGGAGCCAGTCGATATCCGTATATACAAATAGTGTATGTATACTGTATGTATAGGTAAAATAATATCGTCTTCTCATTTGTGACCGCGATAGTTGACATCGTATTTTGTATGAAATATTGCCTGATTGTAACATGAGAATGGGTGTTATTTATGAATATAAAAGTTCATTTCGAATTGGCATAGATTGTAATGGATACGGATTGATGTAGTCGTAACCGTACTCAAACCAACCAACCACTGTACTATATTAGGGAATTTTGAAAGTGAAAACGATGGTGCTAGAGTGTGTTACTTGGAGACGAGATTTGGTCATCATGGATGAGTGCATCGATATATTACGAATTCATCGATAACATTATGCGTTCACAGCGTCCATGAACGTTGATCATTGCCAAATGCAATCGTGCGGATCTGTATTAGACATTTTGCGTATTAAACTGGACCAGTACCACGGCCGTTGTAGTAGGCGGTTTATGGTATAGTGACTAGCCGAAAAAACGCTATACGTGAACGGAAACCACGCGATATATTTATTAAAAAAAACGACGTAAAATATTCCCTGTTATTTGTAGTTGGATGAAGATTCGGAGATGAACTGCATCATCCCTGAAAGCGCATTCTTTTTCGAAAACAGTCCACGAGTCCGAGTGACCCATGGCATTCTCGCATCACGGCACGCCTCATCTATTTACCAGTCAAATTTATTTTAAAAATAAATTCATCTCATGCCTTTTGGCTAAACTTTACTCGTCGTTGACTGGTACTATACATTTCTCGAATCTTAAACAGGTATCACCTGATATATCGAAAATGATTAAAAATTAAAATAAAACGATTCAGGGAAGACATGCGCATATAAAACCACAGGATAGGTCTTCTTCGGAATCGCGTACGTGAACGTGGATGCGACGAAGCTTGTGCGCAGTTGTGATTTATCCACTGTTCGGTGTCGAATCAGATCTCCCCATGGGGGCATCGTAGTGTGAATTACTATCGGACAACTTCCCCGCAGTGTACATAAACTGGGTGGGGGCAAGGCATGACATTTAACGATAGGTTAATCAG